TTTTTTTTTTTTTTTCGTAATGGAGTTTTTAATTTCTATGGCAATTGAATTAATTCGAATTTCCATGTGTGTATTAATTTGCACGTTCAAGAAAAAGTAAATAAATAATAATTGCACGTACATATATATATTGGCTCGTATTCGATCTTAGTTGTGAAGTTTAACGAGCTTTTCAGAGAAAATAAACGTTTTTTTATTGCTGTGTACAATTTTATGTGAATTAAGATATCGATATAATTCAAAGCGTAGCTCATCTGTGTGTGTGTGTGTGTGTTGTCATATTTCTCAAGACTATTTATCTGTGTGTAAATTTTATTACTTTACGAGTTCATATATTTTAAGATTAATATCGGTCTCGAATTGTTTTGCCAGTTGTTTTATATAATCTCCGTGAGCGCGCGATGTTCTCAAGTTCTATTTTTGTACTTCAAACACACCGTGAGAGAGAGAGAAAGTTTCCGATATTTTTCTTTCATAAGCGCACATTTGTACGTAACGTATGAACGAATTGATCACGCACGTGTGTTACAGAGAGATACGCTTTTACCGCACATCGTTTATAATGCGTAATATATATATATATAATCCGCTTTAATCCGTGAAAACATCCCGCAAAAGAAGCAAACAACAATTTATTCTCCACCACGAAATAACAAGGAAGTCGCGGTCGCTTTTCCCCGTCGAGGAAAAAAGTATGCGCGTGTATACACGCACCGTTCCTCCGTCGGTGTTTCTGGGTAACACCCTTCAGCGTCTTGGATGATATCCGCCCATTGCGTGTAAATCATCGAGAAGCGCCAGGACACCGTCGTCGGTCTCGCTTCGAATCCTGCGTAAATAGGACGCACATGTCGATGAACGTGCGCGCGTTATGGTTCCGCGTTCGTTAAGACGATCGTTTGTTTTGGAAAATTAAAATCTATAATGAAACTAACAAGAGAAGAGAAGATAGATAGATATTCATTCGATTTTTTCGGCGCGAAAATGTTTTCGCGAACGTATGTTTTAACCCTCAACGGACGGACACGGGTCCGTTTTCGTCTCGGAGCAAAATTACTTTCTGAAGAAAGTAATTTTCTCGTTGTCATATTTGCTAAAAATTATGAATTAAAACTTTTTTTTTCACTAAATTTAACGATGGTGTCTTCAAATAGACAGCTTAAAGAGTATATAAACATTGTTTCAGATTTTTTTAGAAATATTTAATATTTTTAAAAAGCCCAAGACGCGCGCGAAAACGACCCGTGACTGGCGAATTGAGGTGCCGAAAAAAACGGACGCCGTCCGTTGAGGATTAAATTTAAATAAATAATTTCTCAAAGAATCGGACGTTCGCTTCGCTGCAAATAACGTTCGAAGGAAGTCGGATTTCCACGTGTGGTTCGGTCGGCAATTAAAAATTGAAAATCACACGCGAGAGCTTTCAACGACCCGCTCCGATACCGGAAACGAACGGAATGAAAGAGCCCCTTCCCCTTGAGGGTGATTTAGGATGTCGTCAATCGGACGGCTGGAATGACGGTTCGTGGAACCATTTTACGCGCCCTCGTTCTCTCCGGGGTAGGGTAGGTGGGTACGGGGGACACGACCGAAAGAGAAAGAGAGAAACGAAGAGAAAGAGAAGCCGAGAAGAGAACGGCCGTACCAAAAACCATCTTTGGGATAATTAACTGTAGAAACGACCTCATTACGCGGCTTAATGAGCTGCGCCAGAGCCTTCCATGTCGCGTTCGCGCGACGAGTCGAATAGAAGGCGGCGCACTGATAGATACTTTCCCTGAGAGATTTCGGGAGAAAATAAGAAGAGAACGCGTTTCGCGTGGCGCTTGTTAGAAATTGCGTTCGGTTTCAACGACAGTGATTTATCGAAACCAGAATCGGCGCGGCATAATGATTTGTCACTTTTAACGACACACGCCGCGCGGCTTGTCGCGTCGAGAACGAGACAATTATACAAGCGCGAGGAAAAATTTCTATACCAGAGACATTATACGGACGCGTAAATTTTCGCGAAAGCGCAACTTTCGCGTCCGCGCTGAACCGAACCGAAGACAATTTTTCAGGTGGTGAAATTTTCGCGCGTTTTTATCGTCTATGTCTGGCGACGAAGGGAAGCGCAAAACTCTCACGTGTCGCGCGTCTCCACGTGCTCGTCTCCGCTTTATCGCGCGAACCGGAACTGGGCACTAGGTGGTTTTCCCTCGTATATTCAGCCGCGTTCATCGCGCGACGGAAGAGCACCATAATCCGGCACAGTTTACTGTCGACGTAAAATCCGAACGCGCGGATATATGCGAAGAGAAAAGAGCGAGAGAGAGAGAGAAAGAGAGAGATATCGGTTTCTATCCCAGATATAAATATGTGCTCGAGGCGCGGAGGGCCAACGCACATACATCGCGCGACCGCCAGTGGCACTAACGACAGACGATTCATCATCCTCGGGGAAAATGAAGGGAGTGACAGAAATCGTGGTGATTTAGTAAGAAGAGACAGAGAACAGATGTTTATTCCGGACGACGACGACGACGACGACGACGACGAGGATGAGGACGACGTCGCGCGCCCTTAATATCTCTCGCCGTCATTCTCTTGTCACGAACGTATACGTGTGTCTCTTTGTAAAAATCATCGACGAAGACAATGATTTTTTTTTTTTTTTTACCGCGGGAAAAAAACCGCATTTTTCGGTAATGCAATTGCAACACAAATGACAACAGAGCGAAGATTTTGTTACAAACTGCACCGAAAAAATTATATTCTCGTAAGTAGAAGATTTTATACTTAAAAAATCTTCTTAAAGATTTTAGATGATATTCTTCTGAAATTAAGAATATAATTCTTTATATATATATATATATAAGAATATATTCTTAATTAAAGAATATAGTCTTTTTCGATAGTGAGATATATATGTTTTTCTATAGAGGCTTTTTATATTCTAATCAGTATTTAATTCTTATCAATATTACTATTTAGAGGATTTTCCTCTTAAAATAAGAAACTCTTCTTGGCGCCTATTTTAGTATAAAATATACTTAAAGTAAGTGGGATATCCTCAAAACAAGAATACAATTTTTTCGGTGTGACAATTCGCACAATTGCTTGCGCGTGATTTATTTTTGTGCCCTCTTGTGTTAATTTTTAATTCTCATTTAATTTTTCGTTAATTTTTCAACGCGATTGGAAACATAAATTTCTTCGAGAGTTTGGAAAGAAATTTATA